GTTACTGATTGGCCCGTTCGGTATGTAATCAAATAAAATCTATTGACAGCTGTCTAGTGTATTATGCAGCATTGTAATAGCCATGTGACGTGTTTTCAAAAGCCACTTACTGTGTGACTCACTTTGATATGCTTGGCGGAACAGTCGCTATGTGGTATTGGTACTGATTTTGTGACATTGTGTGCAAATAATTGTGGTTTCATTGTTCTTGGTTTTGAATATACCAAACAGTTATCATGACTATCATAATAGCGATCTCGGCGTCAAAAAACGAAGGTAAAATAAAGAAACTGATTTTGACTATAGAGAGCCCCAATCGCAATGGAGAGGCATACTCCTAAGAATATGGTTTGATATATATTTTGTATAAATTTATTAAACGAGTGTACTAATCTCAAATTGTTCCTCGCCAAACCTCGTTGTATGTATTTGATATTCTGTTGTATATATCCATTTCGCTGCTGCTAACGACTAAAATTAACACAGTGATTGCAATATAAATTTGTGAGCGCATATTCAAGACATCTTAGAGCGTCTTGGCTCATTTCCATAAACGATCGCCGTTAATGAACACTGATTACTGCTAGTTTATCCTATTGCGATTAAGAAATGTAGTTATTTTCAGAGCCATCTCTATATGTTACGTTTCCGGAAAGCAGTGGTAATACAATTGCTAATTATAACTAGGTGAAAAATCGCCAAAAGGTAAAATAAAATGACGTCGGACACCTAGTATATATACGGTTTTCTATCACACGTGGGCTATGATTGACACCTAAAACCATCTGAAATAATAACAATTCAAGAAATAGTGTGTAAAAACACCAATGTATGATAGCCAGCCATGATGGCAAAAGATCTGCTTGCATTGACTAATGTTTTTAATTAAACAAACATTGGGTAACTGCATGATAAATCATGGTACATGATAAGGTATGGTAAGTGGTCCCCAAACGTTGATAACACACAGTCGGGTTAAATCGGATGAATTGAAATACATTAGAGTATTTCACGTTAAGAACGAGAGGAATGAGAACAACATTTGTCAAAGAATTACGCAAACGGTGCCAGTAAAACGATTACTCTCTGCAGTGGCTCGCAAGCAAGCCTGGAATTGTTGTCGATCTTCATAACGAATTTAAGAGGATGGTAATATTTGTTTTTAATTAGATCGATTGAGACAATGTTATATATACCAGCGTTGCAGCTAAAAAATACACGAATAAACCTCATAATTCAAAATACGGGTGCGAATTTGCTCTACCGCTCGATTATTTTTAATTGCTGTATGTTCCATGGCACAGTGACGATACTAAACCCTTCGAAACAAGTCAATGAAATATATAACTACCTTGATGCGGGGTCTTAGTTGTAGAGACCACACCCCAAGTTAATGCAATGAATACCAAAAACCATATCTGTGCAACCATCTTCACGCAATATCAGGCAGGGTCACTTATGAAATAATCAACAATTAAAGTTCAACCGCAGATAAAAACATTAAGTGATGGTTAATTACATTGTCTACTTAAGGATCGAAGTAATATAATATATAACGTATCTGCAGATGACAGGTGCGCAAAGTGCGCCTATTGATAAGAGTCACTTATTTGTACTTATGTTACAAATACCTGAGGGTGCACTTAATACTGAATATACTGAGGTCATTGAAGACAGATGACGACATGATTGTTTACTGCAGACTTGGAGAGTTCGGTTTGGTGTGTGTCACACTTAAGAAATCTTACTAAAAGTAGTAATTAGTAAAAAGTAGTGCATGAAAAGAATCGAATGTGAACAACGTGCACATACGATAAAGACACTTTCATCCCAACTACATTACATCGCTATGGCTTTTTTGTGATTTTTTGCGGATCCCATTAGCTTGTTTCTGTATCAAAGGCTACAGTTATTCCTGAATTTGGGGGTCAAGTTTGAGCTATGCTAAATATGTTCAATCGATGCACTTATCGATTGGTGTAAAGTCCATTATACATTGATCAACAAACTGCAACATTTGTTGACAACAAATGTAGGTCCATGTATCATGGATAAGAGCTGACAGATATACATCAACATACTGCAACTTGTTGCAGGAATAGAGCATGTCTCCATTTCAAACAATAAGTTGCAACAAGTTGACAGAAGTATGTATGATATCCAGAGAAACTTTTGTTGACAACAAACGTTGACGCGCACAGGTAAGTGTTCCTTCACTATGAAGAATTACAATATAATCACCTTTGTGAATCAGTCAAGTTACTTTGCTCTGTTATATTTTGAAGAGGGGATTCTGCATCTGAATCATTTGCATTTATGTCAATTATTTCTTTCACAAATAGTGTTTTTTTTCTTCCGTTCACTGTTCTGTTTAGTATTGTACCTGAAGTAATATTATTGCATTTTTTCATTCTAAAAATGGAATATAGCTGCAGTAACACACACAAACCAATGTAAATATTAACCAGCTGATCACGTGTCCACTTTTGACCAATACTCTTCACTTTCTCATGGGGAACAACAATAGTTCCTCGTGGCGTGATTATGGTTGCTTTATACAATATGGATTTTGTGATTGAAATGCATATAACATTCCGACAGTAGCCACACATCTTATGATAAACTTGGTGGTAGTCATTTTTGGCTCGTTTAAATTGTTTTAACAGTCCCTGTGTTACTTACGTTTAAATTATAGTGAGAGTAAATGCGACTTGGTTACAATATTCCTAAATATTATCAGCAAATCACAGCCCGCCGTTTAAATCGGTTTTACATTATGAGATTCATATGTACTTCGAAATACGTGTAACAGGGAGGATCCCATAGCTAACATAATAAGAATGCAGTCTTCAAAAAACATTAATAAACATTTCATTTATAATTACTTTACCGTTGATTGATTGATTACCACTACTAAATACAATTAGCAAACAATTCATCAAATTCCTGTAATATACGTTTATAATGTCTACCCTAAAACATGCAACCTGTTAATCCTAAACAATACTATAAAAACTTCAAAAACATTAATAAACATTTCATTTACAATTACTTTACCGTTGATTGATTACCACTACTAAATACAATTAGCAAACAATTCATCAAATTCCTGTAATATACGTTTATAATGTCTACCCTAAACATGCAACCTGTTAATCCTAAACAATACTATAACATCGTGTGAACCAAATGAGCATACGTGATTTGATTGATAACATTGCTCGTCTTACAAATTTTGAGCTGAACCCTAGCTCAAGTGGAAAGATTTATAATTACAAAATAATAGTAAAATTCTGTCGATCATGAACAAAGCTTTGCGATTATACAGTTGTGGGTACGTAGGCGCGCCACTTCTATTTCAGAATGATTTGAAAATGTTACAAAAGTGCCCCTCAAATTAATATATTTAAATTGGCAAAGTATACAACACATTGACAATTCAGAAAATCTCTTAGAATCCTGTCGGGCAATATAATTACCATCATATTCGGTACTCATAGACTTTTTAAAAACTTAATAAAACTTTAAAAAATGTATGTTGCAAATACTTTGTCTACTGAGAAAAGTTTAAATATACCATCATAAAGAGCCTCACACAAAGTTATTAAATATCAGTTAATCAGTAGAAGAGAGATACCGGGATCGATTGAGGTAATCCACTGAGTTACTAAACATTTCTATTGAAAGTTTACAAGAATGTATTGTTTATAAAGTGCCAGCTGACAGCAAGTAATTATGTCCAATGGAAAACAATTACGAACGTTTCAATGTTTCCTCTCAATCTTTTTGATTATTTTCTTGTTCCTGCGATCTGGACCTTCACCTCCGTTTAGTGTTGGGGTGTTGTTTCTCTCTCGTGGTTGTAAATGTTGTTAGCACGTCAGCATTCATGATTGCAGGCAGTACATAATTAGTTGTATATTGTAGTACAAGAATGTCATTTTCTTAAGATTCGTGACTGAAACAAGTTCATGAGTTGAATCAATTGCGATTTACTTTTTTTAGACATCTCATGCCATTTCTTTATTTCAGTCAAAACAAACACATGCATAACATCATTTTGAAGGCTACTTACATAAACCTTTTACAACCTTAGAATAACCAGTTTAGTGCGGTAACAAATAATACATTCCTGTGCAGGTAATATAAATAAATGTTTACTTGTCATACCCATAATTGAGCATATACTGCAAATTGTTTACCAAGACAGCATTGGGGGGGGGTGCAAGCTGTATGTTCCCCTATGTCTAAGCGATTAAGTTTGTCGAAGATGACAGAAATTCTGTTTTTTCAGATTCAAATGTGTATGTTGTTTTATAGTCAAATAAAGCGACAGTGTATCATGCAATAGTGCACGGTTGATAAACCTTCAATGTACAGGTATTGCTGTTCGTAAATGATTGAAAGTCCCGACCAATAAGCTTGAAATTGGTGGTTGTGGATACAACTGTCCCAGGTATGTATGTGTTACAGCATGTTTTTTTATATTTGTTCAATTAGAAGCACATCTTTAATATATGCACATACACAAAAACGCATTGCATTTATTGTATACAGGATTATTAAAATATTACTTATTTTGACCATAGAAATATCAATACTGTATAAAACTCGTATGCTATTAATAGAACAAAGACGGCAAAATTATCGATATCTTTTGTGAGAATCGTAATCTACATGTTGTAACATGTACGAAAAATAAGGATGTGAGCCACAATACGAAGTGTAATTACATCACTAAGTAAAATCAAAACACTTCTGATTTTGTGGTATCATACATTACAATGTTTTCTCCAGAATCTCAAACAATTTCCTTTTAATCTCTATGGCAATTTTATTTCATATGTAAAATTTACATCAAATGAGACCTTCTTATTTACAACAAATCAAAACAACTGGTTGAACAGTGTCACTACATTTACTTGTACATGTACCATCAATTTTTGAGTGAAATTGTAAAAAAAAAACATTGCAATGAAAATTCACCAATTATTTTAAGCCTCTTAATCAAATTTAACAAATTTAGCACATGTGAACTTCCTTGATTTATCGCATTGCAGCTATTTCAGAAAACAGGTTGCACCATGTTGGAAGAAAGACAGGAATGTACTGATAATACGGAGTAAGTGGTCCAGAAATTACACATCAAATTATTGATATATTCTACATGAAGGTAATCAGCATAGTAGTGTTGATATATTGATCAGAGGTATAATGGGTTTTGTGATGTGTTTAATTCCACCAACTTCTTCAAAGTAAAATCAATATTTGAATTAATCTGAAAACAAAACAAAATGATGACTGTTTTTAATTCAAAAATAATGTTTCAAATGACTCAGTGAGAAGAAAAAACAAATCTTACCTCTATAGCTATAGCTATATTTGATTATAAGGTATCACTGTGGTCACATTGTTTCGGACACCCAAACAGCAACATTGCTGACAGATTTGCCATGCATGTTTCAAGATCATTAGATGATTAGAGCTGAATAGATCAAACTATATTCAAGATATGTATGGTGCCCTCTAAACGGCAAATGAGACCAGTTTTGAGACTCTCTAACAGATGGAGATGCCATTTGAGACCGATTTAGAGACTCTTGGATGCCACAATAACCAGAAACGAGACCGCGTTTGAGACCAGTTTTAGAGACCGTCAATTTTCACAGTCTGATTGGACAACCCTCTGACGCCTCTTGCAATATACAAAGGCTTTGTTTCAGAGTTCAAGAAACAGATTAACTCCACTATTAAAAAATGAAGCAAACAATTGTCATTGACTTGCTATTGGCGGATACATAATTTGAATGTTTTAACTTTAAAAACAAGCTTTTAGAAAACCCAAGACAGCGAATGCGTTCAGCTCGAAAAAGTGGCTATTCCAACATCCAGTTCTTAGTTCACTAAATCAGTCTCAAATACGGTCTCAAATGGCATCTTCATATGTTAGAGAGTCTCAAAACTGGTCTTATTTGCTGTTTAGAGGGTACTGTACATACCTCTATATTCACCATGGTGAATTGTTTATCTAACTGCACATATTTACTATTGTAAATTGGAGAAGAGTCATTTGTGTATCTCTCGGTTTATCCAAACATCCAATGGCATCTGTATGTACGACAATCCAGGCAAACACAAAGTTGGGTTCAGTGTTCATGGAAATTTGCATTATTTGAAAAGTCCATGTACAATTTGTATGGACAGATTAGATAGATATCAAACTCAATTATGGCTACTTGATCATCATGCTAAACGTTCTCACTAAATAATCGCTGATAATGAGAACAAATTAATCACACATGTTGATGTATAAACAAATTCAACAAGGTCAGCCTCAGTGAATAATTGTGTAACATTATGCCACACACTAGACACACACCACTAACTGTGTCCTGACTGTAAGACTAGGTCAGAATAAACATATTTAAATTGTTAAGATCGCTTTGCCATTTTCCATACCTCAATTTAATTTCACAATAGAAAAAATAAATTGAAAGATAATTGCATCTTCTATTGATATTCAACATGCTCCGTAGTATCAGTGTGACATCTCCCCCTTCGCCAAGGTTGGTTGACCCCATTTAGACCTTGAGACGTGCATATATCACTCAGCAATGTTGTTATGGCATCAGAAACAATATGACTGTGACAATAATTCATTTTGAGTCACAAGCTTACAATATCTACTGTAAAATATGTTGAAATAACTACATCTATACAATGTATGTGCCATTTTAGCAAATTCGACATAATGCATGAATTAACAGAATCTTGAATTAGCTGAAGTACCAACAAATAGAATATACTTCATTTTAAATTAGCTGCATCTCGAATTAGCCAAATTATGGATTAGCTCAAACAAGCCATGCATGGCACAGTCCCAGTTAGTTATCAAATTTAAGATATATAGTTTTATTTATAGTAATATAGTTTGAATATAAACAGTGATATGGATTCAGAAGCTGATGCTTGATTATGATGATTTTTAACATTAAAATAATTGACATTCAGTCATCTTTTATGTGATTGTCAAACAAGTACTAATAAACAAGTACTAACAGCATTAATTAAAACAAAATGGCGATTGGTCAGCCATTTTAAATCGGATAGTCTGTATATCTATGACATGATGTATAATAAATATATAAAATAATCAGTCAAAGCATTTAAGAATGCTCCATCCATAAAATGTCAAAAATGCTTGATTTTTTTGATGATTTTTTAGCACAAAAATGGCCACCATTCGGCCATTTTGAATCAGATCATCAAACCAATATATCTGTACATCTATGACATTATGTATATTATATATACAAAATTTGAACACAATCACACAAAGCATGTCAGAGATATGGCACTAGAACCGCATTCACTAAAAACAAAATGGCTGTCAGTTGGACAATTTGAATTCCAATCTGAAAAATAAAATGATGTGCATGCATGTGTCAATTATGCTCAAATCTATCTACACATGACAAGGATCAAACTCCAGTATGCCAGAAATGCTTGATTTTAATGATTTTTCAGCACAAAAACAAATTTATGTGCATATGTATAATATTATATATGATGTATGTAATCGATCCAGGACTGCCTAAGATATAGGTCCGAGGTGAATGTAAAAGTCCCTGTTTTTGGACGGCATCCGAACAAGGACAGCCAGCAGTATACTGAATTCAAACAAATAATGTGAGCTTTATTATGTATGCTAAAATAACAAGTTTTAACCACTTTATGCAAAACTACTGAAAATTAGATCAGACCGCGAAAGAACAAAGATGTAGTACAACTATTATCTCTTAATACATTATATGTTTAGCAATTGAACATTAAATGGTGATGTATAAACTGTAATAGACAGTTTAACAATTTATACAGTGCCCCCCCCCCACACACACACACAAAAGTAGTAAATCATCTACATGTATGTCTTTAATGTAAAGTCACATGGACATTTTAATTCTGAAATGACATCCACAATGTAGTTTAAGCACTGGAATAACTTGTACTTTGTTGCTGCAAGTGTGTATGCAGTGAACTGCCTTGTAAAGAATCAAAGTTGTATACACACAGCCAGTAGACTGTCCAAGCACAATCACAGATTAAAATTCCAACATGTCCGAGACAGATTTTAGGCAGTTAACTATCAAACTTTCTGTGGACAGGTGAATGAAGTTTATAAAAACTCACATTAGTAATGAGTCAGGAAACAGCACAAACATGAATAAACATAGTTGAACTCTGGTGACCTTGCCCTTTGTTATATAATATAATTCCCTTTATCATAGTTTGTTTCAATATAAATATGCATT